AATTGTCCATTAAAAGTTTTTTTTTTTTTTACAATTGCCAAAAAAAAGATGCCTAAAAAACCAATTCCCACCAAAACCATGGAAAAATGAATTCCATTAAAACCAAGAAAGTGGCATGTGTAGGGCTTTTGGTGAAAAATTAATTGCCAAAAAATGAATTCCAATCAAACACGCCATTTGGGTCGAAATTGAATTTCTTTTTCATTTTCCATGGAATTTTTGTTGAATCAAACAGGGCCTAAGTAAAATTAATGTGTTTCTCCATTTGTACAGAAAATGAGTGACAGAGGCGTTGAGAGCCTTTCACATGCGTGCGGCCGTGTGGGATCCACATGAATAAAAAATTCCAAAAAAAGTGGGACCTCCCCCATTGTGAATGTTCGGTTAAGTTGCATGTCAACCATTTTCGATAGGTGTAGCATGGTTGAAAATTAATTATCTTTTCTCATTATACACAGCTTTGATATGAAAAAATTCAACAGTAAAACTAAAAACTTGGATGCATATTGGCCATTGTTGTTAAAATGACGCGTTTGAAAAGAGCAAGCCAAGTTGACCAAGTCAAAAACTTCTACTAGCATTTTAACATCACGACAAGTGGGAATGATTTACACAAATAGGCAGGTATGAAAAATCTTTTGCCCAAAACATTCGATAACTGAGTATCAGCAACCAAGCGACATAAGATATTTGTATATAAAAATAAAGCAATAAAATCTGTCATAATCCTTTTGACACTAAAGAATTAATTGGAACATTCAAGAAAGTATTTGAAGTACAAATAGTAAATTTGAATTACCATATATTGGAATCAAAATCATTGAAATAGATTTTCAGCACTTGATCCTGGACTAGGTATCTCCGAACACTTAGAACATTCACCTAGAGAACACGAATATCATAATATGGTAAAATCATGCTCATAGTAAGTTCATTTCTATCAGAAATGAGAATTTCAACAACAGGAAAACCAGAGGAAGGATTATTCACTTGGCAAGAATTTGCGGAGCTTGATTCTCCTGCTGTTGCTGATAGTTCAGTGGCCTCCTGAAGAGTATGATGTGTTGCTCAGGATGGTGAACTGCATAATGGACCCACCCACGACTCTGCTGAACCCAATCGCACGCCATTCATTCTAAAAATGACAAAATCAAGCCAAATTAAGAAGCCCGAATTTACAAAAACCCACTTCTAAGTTTTACACGAATGAAGATAATAGAGACAATTATATAAGCTCGATTTAATTTGTTTATTTATCCAACCACAATTATTATGCCTAAAGATGATAATAATTTTTAGTTTGCTATGATCCTCTATTGAGTTTCGCAGAAAATAGTAAAAACTTGATAGGATGCAGCAATTGAATCAAGAATTGAGCAATTTTTCCAATATTTATTCACAAAAAGCTTACCAATTATATTTATACTCATCAAAATTCACAAGAAGACGATTCTTGGGAAGCAGTTTAGGTAACATAACAATTACAAAAACAAATAATTCAAATTAATTAGAAAATCACCTGTACTCGTAGGTATCATCGAAGGAATTAAATAAAATGGAAACGTTCTAATTGGGTTAATTTTAAATTTCAAAATTTGAAAATTTTCCCACTTTAGTTAATGTGCATCAACAATATGTCAATAACGGTCACGTAGAGATGGATTAGTTTGGCAAATTATTTTAAGTGCCCTTGTTTGAGACGTGATTTTGTGAAAAAATAATTTTTTTTTTAAATATTGAGTGATTAAAAAGTAGTA